GCGTTGCAAGAAACGATGCGTTGTGTGTGTGTGTGTTGAGCTAAAAGTACAAGAGCTGTGTGTGATGCGCGAATCCAACCAAGAAGCCAAAAGAAACCATTGCCAAAACCGATTGCTGCGCCTAAGCTCGGCGATGTTCATCTTCAAACTCGGATGCGTTCTCGTCCTGGGCAAGGTGGCTGTATCCGTCCCTCTCGCGCGGCATACAGAAGCCAGGTGGACTGACGATTCCGTTGAACAGGAAGGTTCCGTACACCAAAAGCACGAAACCGAGCACCTGCAGGCTGCCCGACTGGAGCTTGAACGTCTCCCATCCGAGCGTGAGCGAGACCACCCAAATACCCAGCGTCCTGCACGTGTCAATCGTACTGCGCGCAGTGGCCGAGACATTCCTCGTAACCGAAAGTCCAAAGAAGTTGAAAAAGGCGATTGTGAAGCAGATGGCAATCGACGAGCGCAGCACTGCAGGCACCGAGATGATCTGGTAAAAGCCAGCCGACATGTCAAAGTAGCCACCCCGACCTTCGGGCGTCGATCCGACAAAGTAGTGGAGCAGCGGCATGGCGACCAGCGTGGTGGCAGCACCGAAGAGGCCCTCGTATCCGACGGCCAGAAGCGGCTCTACCGAGTAGCGCGACATGATCTTCTCCTCGAGCACGAACTGAGACGCGGTGAAGAGCTGGGCGAAGAGGATGAGCAGCACGCCAAGCAGCGCCTGTGCGGTCTCGGGGATCTCGTCGTCACCCTCGGACGAGGGCGATGCTTCGGGAGCTTTAAACACGGTGCCCGAGAGGCCGACGACCGAGACCCCCATCATGACGGTGACGAGGCTGAGCCACTGGAAGAGGTGGAGGTGGCGGCGGAGGAAGATGACGGAGAAGACGCCGACCCAGAGGACGAGCGCGCCGCGCGTCATTTGGTAGATGCTCACGGGCGTGAAGAGAAGGCCGACGTTCATGAGCGTCGTGCCGCAGATGTCGCAGAGCGCGGGCATAAAGAAGAGGCCGACGGCCTTGCCGGACATGGTCTCGCCCTTGACCGCGTCGATCTCGTCCGTGTCTACGTCAAGGTAGCTGCTGTCGTTGGCCGTGGTGAAGGCGGACTCGTCGAGCTCGCCAGGCTGCACGGCGCGTGATGCGATTTCAAACGGCGGAGCGGGTACGGAAGGGTCGGTGGGAGCGTGGGTGGCGCCCGTGTGGACGCGGCCGCGTGTGGCTTGATACGACGAGATGGCTGAAAGACCGCGGTCTCTTGGGGACGCGTCGCCGTCAAAGACGATGCCCGAGTCAGGGGGAGCCTGAAGGAGCGGCTTCTTGAGCGCAGCATCGCGTGCCGAGTTTCCAGAGACGCGCGCGTAGATGGCGCGGAGCAGGATGGGAAGCAAGCAGAGACACTCGCCGAGGAACATCTGGAGCGTTTGCCACACGGGCTGGGAGAACTCCTGTCGCTTGCGCGGATCAGGTGAGTCGCAGTTGGCGACGCACTGCATGTCTTGGTACTTGTTGAGCAGCGAGTTGCTGATGCCTGTGATGAGCATTCCCACCACAAAGACGGGCACGAGCGACCGTGTGTTCAGCATCTTGGGCTTGGCGTCGTCGTCGTCGTCAGCGTTCGCGTCTGTGTGTGTTTCAGGGGTGGTCGAGCTTGGTGCCTGCGACTTTCTCGATGATCGAGCTGGAGTATGCGGTGGTTCTGCGGTTGCGCTGTCCGAGGCGGCTGTCTTGGAGGTTTGACGATGACGAGGCTCTTGGTCGCCTGTGGCTACAGATGGATGTGCTTGGGAGGCCGATAGCGCGACGAGCTCGATGGCGTCTAGATTGTGGGCCGGAATGGTGCTGTTCTAGTCTAGCCAGTGGGGAGATGGTGATAGGGTTGGTGATAGGGTGAAGGCAAGTGTGTGTCGAGGTGAGTCAGGTCAGAGAGGGGGTGGTGTATGCGGTGGGGATGGCAAGGTGGCACTGACGCGGCACAGTCGGGCGACGCTGGACCGAGATAAGGATCGCCTGCAGCCAACGCGCAGTGAACCCGCAGTGGAGGAGTCACAGCCGATGCATGGGCGCTGCCGGCTCGGACCCTGAGTCAACGCCCTGACAAACACCCGCTCTCCCCCTCTCTCTCTCTC